CTTTGGATCATGAATAAGCATATAATAGCATCACTCACCACACAGACAAAACAGTCACGATGCCACGATCCTTCAAGAGCACTCATCATTTCCCCTTTAATTGGTTTCTGACAGCCTTTACATTTGGGAGCTGTAAAATAACAACGTATCAAGTAATGCACCATCTATAACAAATATTGCAAGTACAATCTACTGATTCACATACCGAACTTCTCTGACCAGTCTTTTTCGCAATACGGAAATCCATCATGAACCATAAATCCTGCAGACCCAAACGGATCTCCACATTCGCGACAAAAGAAATGGCCCGGATGCCATGATTTTCCAAGTGCGTTTATTATAGCCTATCGTAAAAGATAACGAGTAATATTGAACACCTTGACCAATTGTTTCATACCACATGTTCTCTATTCTCTTCTTATAACTTACCCCTTCGATGGGTGTATTACAATGTCCACAATGAGGACTAAACAACTCGTGGAAATCGAGATGGCAATACGGCTCACCATTCTTCTCGAAAAACGCCACATGTTCCAGCGATATCCCACAATGCTTACAAACAAAATGGTGCGGATGCCATTGTTTACCCATAGCGGATAATACATTCCCAGAGACTTGTTGCATGCATGCAGCGCAGTTTTGAGATATGATGGTGGGGATAATCCGGGATTTGTCGTCAGTAGGTTTATCGTCAGCGGATTTATCGTCAACGGATTTATCGTCAGCAGATTTATTGTCAGCGGATTTATTGTCAGCAGATTGAAGTCGATTTTGAGGTTGTGGTGAAGATCCACTGGGAGTAGAAGTGGGATTGGGTGAAGACGTCGGTACAGGGATAGATGGCTCTGGAACTTTTGATGCTGGGGGTGAAGGTGAGGGTGCGGACTTTGGAGGTAGAATAGAAGAAGACGAAGACGAAAAGGTAGCAGAGGGTGTGGGCGTAGTGTTCAGTGTTTCTGGAAGTGACCGTTCGGACACATTTATTGAAGAATTTGGAGAAGATTGAGTTTCGCTAACGGGAGGGGATGAGGCATTTGTTGGTTGAGGGAATCGATGTGGGCTTGCAAGAGTTTCTTTCAAGGATTTTATAGTGGGAGTGGATTCAGAGACTATGCTTTTGGGTTTAGTGCTGGTGTTAGTGTTGGTGTTCGTGCTAGTTTTGGAACTGGTAATAGTCAAGTTCTTTAGATATTGATCTATATGAAGAATAAAGAAATTAATCATAAGAATCATAAGGCATAAGACTCTTTGTTTGGTATAAGCGGAGAGCGACTTGATGATCGCTTACCTAGTTGATCTTTTGTAAGAAAAGACATGTTAGCAAACGAACACTAAAGGTGAGAAAGAACTTGTGCTATCAACTATCGTATATTATGCGTTGAGCGCGCCTACAAAAAGTATTTCAGGGGTACCAACGCCACATTATTTATCCACCATGCTCTTGTGTAACACTCCTTAGACTTGGTAATTGTCTTGGTAATTGTCTTGGTAAATTGTCTTGGTAAATTGTCTTGGTAATTCTGCGCCGGTCCCAGGCAGCAACCTGGTTGACTACATTTGGGAAAATATATCTCCATAATAAGCAAACAAAAACAAAAAAATTTTTAGCAAAATGAAGGAAGCCAAAAAACCCGCCTGTCCGAGCCATAGTATGCGAGTTACAAGCAAGCAAGGACATTGCGAAAAGACTGTCCTAGGTGCAAAAAAAAATATATGAGCTTATGGATAGAATGGATAGTGTTGAAGAAATAGTTAACGACAAACTGGAAAGCGGGCGTCGACAACGAAGAATAACAGAATAATTTTGCCGGTAGGGATTAATACAGAAATTATTCGACATATCGGAATAAGTTTGTGCGAATTTTCCTAAAATAGGTAAGCTACTGTTAATTTCTGCCATCCGGTTATGTAACAATTTCGTATAATAGTATTCCATGTATTAGATCACGTAACTGGTTATTGATGCATACGCGTTTATATATAATTATATGGTCCGGTGCAAAAATATCCGTACCTCGATTTAAAAGATTTTTATTTGCGTAATACTAAAACCACATGCAATGACCCAAATAAGCCCATTTTAACATGGTAAAAGATTACATATAGACATATTTTTTTTCGCAAAATTCATCGATTCCTCATGTCTAGTTCTCGTGTAAACCGAACGCCCGCACCACTAACAGCGAACGAAAAATGGATGTATTAAACGTCTACAGATACTTTTCTGGGGCTACATCCATAGATAAGCAAAATAAAAACATGACATTACGCAAGCGAGTTGATCTGGTTTTGGGGGTTGCGGAGAGTACGGTTGGGGGATGTATTGTCTGATTGGAACCAGCGCAACGATGGCACATTTACACCACATCAAAACCTAATTCTCAACCAGGCGAAGGCATCACATCACTTTTGCGAACTCACATTATGAACAGCAACAAGACAGGACAATAACTTTCTTACGACAATTTCTTTCCGAACATGGGTACATGCTTTCCAAGTGGCAACTTCTCCGGAATACTACATGGTCATCAAGTTTTTTTTACGCTTCCTTACCATTGCGAGCTTCAGCCGATTGAGGGTGTTTGGGCAGTAGTAAAAGGTGAGATAGGCCCACATTTAAATCTCTTAGACGTTAGAAATAAGCTTTTAAAAGCTTTTAAAGAAAAAATAACATCAAAGTAATAGTAGGATTATGGAAAAGAGCGCTCACAAGGGCGAAAGAATAGAAAGAATCAGATCATAATGTAATTTTATTGGATGAGAAAACAGATGATGATGACAATCTTGACAATAATGATGAATTTTAATAAATTTTTTATAGCATAATAAATCCGAATACCTACTGGTTTTTTATATTTTTTTTTTAAAAAAAATTTTAATATGTAAGAACTGTTTTTATTAAGATTATTGTGAGGTACGGATATTTTTGCACCGAACCATAATAATAATAATAATAATAATAATAATAATAATAATAATAATAATAATAATAATAATAATAATATTGTTGTAGCATGCGGTTTAATTATCAAAATAAAAGCTTAGCAGAAACGTTTATGATATATAAAGAGAAGGGGTCATCTATACGGCGATAGGGCGATACTTTATCGCTGCATTCTAATATGAGTCAATGTCACGTAATCCTTAGATCTAATCGTGTCTTTCGCCCGCACTCGATGTGAAGTCGAACAACACGTTCGCAGATCGGTTTTTGGGTCTCTTGCGTTAATCGCTTGCCGAAGATTGATCACGAAGGACAGTGCACTGAATAATAGTCATTACGGATAACTTTTGACTGTTTAATCGATGATTTCGTTTTTTGAAAATCGTGATCTTATTTATTGGAACATAATAATAAAGGTCGCGTAATTCTAATTGCAACATATCTTACCACATATTTATTGTTGCTATTACTGTTATTATCTTCAGCTACAGATGCCTCGTGCCACCGTGTCTCACGTGAAACAAATTTTCTTAATTTAATATTAAAACCAGAGTAATAGTAATAAGTGTATTCTGACAGCTCTTCAATCGTATATGGCATCTCCTCACAATCAACTTCTACTCACTCTTTCGGATGCCGCCTCTCAACAACCTGATAGAATCAAACTTGCTGAAACACGCTTGAAAGAATGGGAGACTGCACCAAAGTTTTATTCCACATTACTGGTGAGTGCATTTATTGACCTCTAGCGAATGCGACTTCTACATTTCAGAAGGCGATTATAGACAATAAAGTGAACTGCAGCAATACCCTTTTAATTGTTTACTTTATTACTTTAAGAGAATTTTTTCCCCATCATACGCGTCTGCAAATAGAGCTGTTTGTTAGGTTAAGTGCCTTGCAATTAGTAGTATCTGCTAATTGTATCCGCGAAGATTTGACCGTGATAAGCTACTAGAATTAACTTCTTTGACGCTAGAATTATTTTATGCCATATCTAACTATTATATAGCGTAAGAATGAGTTTTAAATAAAGAACTTCCCGATTCTCATTTTTTGAATGAAGTCTTTTCAATCTGATCTTGTGCTTCTTCTGATATTTTTCCTTATATGTCCTATCTATTACGTACTTGATTTAATGTCAATCATCTCGATACAATTCATGATAACATTATGCAGGACATCATATGCGACAAGTCAATCAATGGAGACATTCGTCATTTGGGGATCATCTTTCTCAAGAATGGTGTCGACAAGTACTGGCGTAAAACTGCCTTGCAGTACGTGATTCATAATAGGGTCTTTATTTATTATATGCCAATATCGACTCTTACTGGTATATGAACTGACTTATGAGTTTTATGCTAGTGCCATTAGCCCTGATGAAAAGGCAAAAATAAGGGGCCAGTTATTGACTTTGATGGACGAGGAGCAGAAAATGGTGGGTATCTGACAGGACTGCCAGTAAATGCTCGTTAAAATTATGACTCAATCTCTAAATATCTCGCCTTTCAGCTGGCAACCCAGAATGCCCTCATTATCGCTAAAGTTGCACGTTTCGATTATCCAAATGATTGGTGGGTATAGACCAGTGATATGTTTATATTCATTACTTATCTGCATATTTGTATCCATACAATACCGATAATCGTAGAATAACTGTCAATCTATATTGAACGAAAAGGCCAGATCTACTGCAAGGTCTTCTTAATGTGATTCATACCACTATGACAGCTGTGAGTGATCCACATTCACGGCTTCTCCAGAAACGATCATTATTGACTCTACACCAAGTAGTGAAAGCTCTCTGCTCTAGAACGCTTGCTTCAAATCGTAAGATGTTGGAGGAGGTAGGTAATGATATTTTGTGAATATTATAGGGGATGTTTATTAATAGCATCGTTATTTTATTTGTCAAGGTATCCCCAGAGTTACTCCGTAATGTTGCAAATATTTATGTGGAGCATACAAATAGGTTCTTTGCTATGACGTCGAATTCCCCTAATTCTATGGATCAAATGGCTGCAGAGTTGGAGGTTTCTATCTTGTGTCTGAAGTCCATCAGACGTTTAATTGCGCATGGGTTCTCAGATTTCAGTAAAGTCGAAGAAACAAAGGTAAGCGATGCAGCCTAGCTACCTTTTATTGTTATTTTCCGCGTCTAAGAAGCCTTTCTTTGTTGTTTTTTTAGGCCTTTTTAATACTGGGTTTGCAGCATTTGCAGAAATTTTACAATCTGAGTGAGCACACGATTTGTAATTACTTCCAATCAAATAGTGTTTTTATCCAGAATTCACATTTATTTTATGTACAGGAAAAACAATTCAGGATACTTCGCATCCCGTATTCGAACTAGCAGATTCTCATATCAGAATGTTCGGCAAGATGTATATTGATCTTCAACGACTCCAGCCCATCTCATTTTCGTTAACACCAGATGCAGTGGACATTGTTCAATATTACTGGCAAATAATTGTTACTGATGGAGTATCTTATGATTCTGGTAAGATTGATTTCGGCGTAATGTCTATTAGCGATATGCCTGTCCCCGTTGAAAGCCTTGTTTTTTTTTAAAACGAACAGAAAAAAATATTTATGCGTCTGACTTCTATTAAGAACCTCCAACACAACCACCGGGTCTTGAGAAGATAGTGGTCCAAGGCTTATTACTGCTCAAAGGTGTAATACGAAAGCATACTTATGGAGAGGCGAATCCTCGAGGCTTTCTCGAAAAGCTTGAGGCTGTTGAGAAGTCGACTTCGTCACGATTGGCTCAAGCACTCTCTGTAGTTGAGGGCCAGCTATTAACACCTAAATTTGTTAATTCGATCACCGAAAATATAATTTCGAAATTTTTGATTCTGAGAAACGACGATTTAAATATGTGGGAAGATGATCCAGAAGGATGGATCAATTATGATGAAACCGATCATTGGGAGTACCATGTGAGGGTCAGTAGTAATTAGTGGGATGGGAGAGAATTTGAGTTATCTTGAATTATACGATTAACTATCTGTGGTTTATTGTTGTATAGCCTTGCGCGGAACGAGTGGCTATGGAATTATTTGCGCAGTTTCGTGCAGCATTATCACCGTTGATCCTAAAACTACTTGAGAGTGCGGCTTGTATGTTTTATTGAAAATATAAAGTATTCTGTACATGGTATATCTAATACCATATATTAACCCACAAATTTTCTTGCAAACGTAGCTGCTTCCGATCCATCAAGTTTGTTGTTGAAGGATGCGGTGTATTCTGCGGTGGGTCTTGGCGCCCACGAACTATACGACGCTCTGGATTTTGACTCTCTGCTTGTCAATCATCTAGTAATGGAAGCTGTAAATACGGATCAAAGGTGCTTGTTTTTTGATTTTCATCATTACGCACTAATTCTATTCGAACGCGGATCTAACTTTGGATATATTCTCTCAGTTTTAAAATTATTCGTCGTCGCATAGCGTGGTTGATCGGTCATTGGGTCAGCGTGAAAATCTCAAAGGATGTAAGACCAAAAGTATATGAAGTTATGCTGCATCTAATGCGCCCAGAAGAGGACTTAGTAGTTCGACTGACATCGGCAATCCAGCTCGCACATTATATCCTTACATTCCTGATTTAGTTTTTACATAAACGTGTTACGGACGCAAATTGAACTTAACTTGAGCTTTCGACGTACACGTGTAGATGAGTGGGATTTTGAGGCTGATCAATTTACACCGTATCTCGACCGTTCTATTGAATTACTTTCGCAACTCATTGGCGGAGTTGAACATTTCGAGACTAGGGTTAAGATTCTGAACACTTTGTCACTAATAGTGGAGCGAATGGAGGATCAGGTAAACTGGGCGTTGAATGCTTACATGCTGGATTTTTTTTTTCTTTCTTGACATTGGCGTTATTTGACATCACAGATAGCACCGTATGCGCAAAGAATCGCAAGTTTGTTGCCACCCTTGTGGGAAGCTGCAGTTGACGAACATTTATTCAAACCGGCTATTCTAGTGACATTGACAAAACTGGTTGGAGTATGTTAATAAGTTTCTATACGTATTCTTGTATTTAGTGACATTTTTGCAAATCTAATATTTGTTAAATTTGCAGTCGTTAAAAGAACAATCAGAGAATCTTCACGAGCTTATCGTACTGCTCGTTAACTATAGCGTTAATCCCAATTCGGTACTTTTTGACGATTCTGTCCTTGCTTATATGTTGGCGTTGATAGTTACAGTTGTTGTTTATTTTTGGCTAGGAAGAACATGTATATTTACTGGATGATGCCCTAGATCTTTGGTATGTAACTGTCCAATGTGCTCCACATTCTACCCCCTTGCTCCTTAGTCTTGTTCCCGCTTCTGTGGCTTTGTTGGAGTTTGGCTCAGATTCTTTGAAAAAAGTGCTCAAAATACTTGAGAGCTACCTTGTAATGGCTCCAGAAATGGTTATGCAGGTATAGCTTCTCCGTACATAATTTATAGATGATATATTCTAATACTAATTCAATATACATAATGTATGGTCATATGCAGTCATTTGCGCATCAAATAATGGATGCTTTCACCCGACTACTTGGAGACCTAAAACCTCAGGCATGTTCGGCTATCATTCAACTAATAGAGGTTATCCTGCAGTCATGTCCAATACAATTATGTGAGGAGCATCTGATGAACACGGGATTACTTTGGAAATTGCTGAACACAATCCTTGCACAAGAGGTATGACTTATTAAAAACAAAAGTGATACATATTTCTTTCGCTCACGTTCTATGCGTTAACATAATATGTAGGAACAATACTATATATTGGTCAACTATCTCAAAGTCTTTGCGAGGATTGTGATCAATGATCCGGTATTTTTCCTAGGCTTTATTGAAATATCTGGACAACAGAGTAACCCACGACGAACAGATCTGTTGGATGAACTATTTGGTCTCTGGTTAGATTTGGTAGTTGTATTAATGAAATCGTTGTCTACATCGTTATTGGTCGAATGATCACTCTAAATACAATATTTATAGTTTGATAATGTAGGCCATGCGAAGGATCGTAAACTGCATGCTATGGCCTTCACCGCACTCTTAGCAACGACGAATTCTGTTATTCTGAACCGACTACCACAAATAATGGGGGTTTGGAGTGATGTGCTGAGTGAAGTAAGAGAGAACGGAGGTGGAGAGTAAGTCTATTTTAATTATGCAGTTTTATATGGAGCATCTCCTAAATAGCTTTGTCTTACTATTATTGCATGTTATGTGATCAAGTGCACTTATATACTGGAGAGAAGAGTCAAAAAATGATGATGAAGAATCCGCCGATAGCAAAAGGAAGCGAATGGTAATGAATTCAGCACTTTTCATTTTACCAAAGCCAATGCATCAAATGCTCATACAATAGGAATTTCTTAATGCTAATATTTGATTGCTCAGTTGCTCCAAAGGGATCCTATCCATACAACCAATCTCATTCAGTATATCCAAATGAAATTCTCAGAAAGTGAACAGCTTAATGGTGGCGCCGAAGCCTTCCAACGAGATTATGTCTCTAAAGTTGACAGTACTTTATTAGATCAGGTTAATAGTTTGATGAGAATTTGAAATGATTATGGCACAGGAGAGATAAGTCGACTTCCCATTATAATAGCTCCTCCTCTTAATCAAGGACTTATTCTTATAATATTCAAATCGCCTAATTTGCTATTCCCACTAACAATTGGCTTCATTCAAGTATTCTCATTTCCATCCCCAATAAATTATTGGCAAACTCCCAGTTTAGTCTACTTCTTGTCCTTCTTTCCAGCACTAGCCTTCGTTTTCTGTGTACCACGGACTTTCTTTGCACGATTTTTCCTTTCCTTGCGTTGTTTACGGGCTGTCTTGGCAGTTTGAGCAAGACCATGCTGAATTTTCATAATAAGGAAGGCATTAATTAAGTACAAACTTCTCGCATAAATAAACATAAGCTATTCCCATGAAATTAGTATTGGTTAATCGGATATGCCATTCTAAGATCTGATTCTGCTCAATCAAAAATACCCAATCATTCCTTGACTCGTGGGTTCAGAACATCCACTTTCTTGCTCTCCACAGACACAAATTTTAAAAATTTCAACACATTACCCTGACTAAGCGATATTTCGGTTCAAATTTCCTCGCAGCCTCCAAAGAGTCGTAGATCAGCCCAAATCCTGTCATGCGACCACCGCCAAAAGCAATTCGAAATCCAAACACAAAGATGACCTCTTTGTCTGCTTTATACATTTTCGCCAATTTTTCTCTTATAACTTCTTTAGGTACGCTAGTACCAAACGATTGTACATCAACTATCATTTGCTTCCGTTGAAGCAAGCGGTTGGTGAGGAATTTACGGGTTCGAACCGTTATTGTTGTTGCTTGGTCAGCCTGGAATTGCGAGAAACAGAATTAGTAGTCGGAAACGTATCTATAGAGAATTAGATCATCCATCGCGAAAATATGTAGAATTCACTGACCATATTCGAGTATTGGTGATCGCTTCTGTCCGATATGTACGTTAAACCGGAAGAAGATGGGGAAGAGGAAGAAACATATCGAAATTTTTCAAAGTCTAATAATTTTGGAATCAGGTGACACGTGAATGATGGGAAATTACATTTCGTATCTGTGTAACTTCAAATATCGCTCCTCGCGGTCTAATTTCTAGTATTCGCATACTTAATTAGTAACATCTACAATTGAACGCTAGAAGATGTTCTTATATTAACAGGTTTTAAATAAAGGGCGCTTGCATAAACTGGACGTACAGGATAATTCTATGCTTCTTATATACGTGGTCAATTATCGTATGTAGTGTTACTGAGAACTAGTTTTGTGCGTAAATTTCGTTGGAATGTCCCGTTGACGTTATGAGACAGAAAATGAGTAGGGTTTAGTGTAATTATGATTATGCTATTACCGCTTTGTTGTGTTGCCCTCTGACCCTATCAATAGTCTAGGACAAAGTGGAAACTCCAAGCGGATTGTAGATGAAACGATCACTTAAGCATGTCAATTCTTAAAGTTAATATTCTCTATTTTGCATGGTACGATTCTGTAAATGATTGTCTATATAAATTTAAAAAGCTTCACGATATATCCGCTAACAAAAGCTTGCTTTGAAAATTAGCTATTACAAAGACTCTCCTACATCATATATTAATGCTATAGAAACCAAGAGTTATCTACCAGACTATAAATATGTCAATCTTAATCCATGAATCGCATTGCTTTCACATTACTGCTCGCCTATTCATGCTAAAAGCTCCATTATTTCCCAGCCCTTCCTCGATCCCGCTCATTTGCTCTCCCACACAATCCTTAAATATTTTAACCTCTCAATCCAATTCTGTTATTCTCGGGCCAACCCTTCTCTGTAATTTCATTGTCCTCTAATTGATCTTGCGCACTAACCACTCGTAAGATTGACTTTTTGCTTGACTCTTGCATCTCGCCTGCGATGATTAGTTCGTCCAGGATGAAGTACGCCTATGCAGAATATGCTAATTAGTTACTTAACCCACTGAGAAACAAGGCTCATTCGGGACAGATGGCAGCAGCGATTGTTGTAGATACCTTTTGGAAATTGAAGATTAAATCTAACTCGCACACCTAGCGATTGAATAAGCTTGTATTATTAAAAGCAAATGATGAAAACTACCCTCGTCTTGTTAAACTTACGTTCCCAAAATATCGGTCCAACACTTCGACATATCGATGAATAATTTCCAGTGTTATAAGTTCATTATCATCTGCCGAGATTCCTACTACAAAAAATAACGAAGCATATCTTATCGGGGTAATAAAATATAACGATCTCGTTGAGACTTCAGCAATGGATCATAACATATTATGAAATGCACAACAGAACGTACTACCTTCGGTAAACTATCTTCTCGTCTGATTAAATTGATTCGGATAATCAAATAGTAATTAGCATCTTCATCACTCACTCAAATCGTACAAAAAAAAAACTATTTGCAATACCCTCTCCCTTATTACCTTTATATTCTAGAAAATTACACATCTTCGTTCTTCTCGCAAGCACCATTGTCGTAACTTCTTTTACAATCTTTGTTTTCTCTTTGGGTGATAGTGTATTAAACCATTTTGCAAGTCTGACTTTGCCTTGTCGAGATATCAGCAGAACATACTGCATCTGCCGAGAATGGATAGGTTACAGTTAATAATGCATAACATTAAGTGTATATTATATGTATATAATATTCAAGTTACGTACTCCCATTATGTGTATCTGTTGAGAATTGAAGAGAATGCAATTAGTTGATTGTGACAAGAGGATGTTTTCAGTTGTGTTGTGTTTGTGTTACTGAAAAGACTAAATTTAGCCATTCAAGTTGGATCTACATTACATACTTCACTTTTCCTGCCTTTTACATTAATGCCTCATAAGCGCAAGAAAGCAACAGAAAGACTTGCCCGGCGGAGGTTTGCTCTATCGAATTACCTCGATTTTGTTAGCCTGTACATTTGTTTTGCTTATTGCTTATGATTGTATATCTGCAGCTATGACAAGGATCCTAATGAGAGCAAGACATCAGACACTCCAAAGCGGTTTGAACGACTACTCAAATTTAAAGGAAGAGTTGAACAAGCGACAATAACGAGAAAAAGAAAGGGGTTACCGTCGCAAGAAGAACCCAATAAAAAACGTGTAAGTACAAGTATTAGGCTTATTCCATCACACATTGCGGAAACTTATTTAGATACGGAATTTTTTGAAGAAAGCTATTCAAAGGCTACCGGATGAACGTTTAAAAGACTATAATAGGCAAGTTTACTTATGATCCATAGTCTTGTGGCTACGACAAAAGAATCTTCTACTTACCCGTCACTTTTATACAGGAGGGTTGATAATGAAATGCAGTCGGATATACTTCACTCGATAAAGAATGCGACATCAAACAGCAAAAGCAGACGGTAAGGATGCTTTACAATGTTAGTCATTACGGATTACACAAAAGTCTTACAATTTAATTGCCATTTTAGCTATCGAGAGAAGCTAAAACAGAAAAAACTACAAAAAATGGCCGAGATAAAAGAAGAAATTGAAGCAAAAGATTTTGATAAAATCAAGGATAACATAAAATTTGGCGAAGTCGTACAATCACCACCTTCTCTAAAAATATTGCCAAAGGCAAGAGGGCTGAAGCATCAGGTTAGTGTATTATCTGCAACATCAAGCCACAGGCCATCCAAATAAATAGACAAATGGTTAATTAAGCCATGGGAGTAGATTCTGAGGATGAGAGGGAATCTATACTATCGGGTGTCTTTTTTTTTTTTTTTTTTTTTGAGTTTTCTTGCTGAATTAACACAACCTGTGTACTATTTCAGAATATAACATCCACGCCAACTACAACCGAAATTACTACAGACACACATGTAGATGGTGACAGTGGATGGAAGGGTCAAAAATCACACCAAAATGTGAGCGCTGCAATAAAACGAATTCTTGAGAATGAAAGAGAGAAAGTAGTGGCACATTACAGAATGATAAAAGAAAAACAAAAAACACAAACATTCCAATGAATAAACCTATGTGATAATCATTTTATCACTGCTTTCTAAATTTTGGCCAATATTTTGAAACAATATATCCTTTTTGGTCTGCCTTGATATGTGTTCAATTAATTATATTTCATAACTCGCTCGCTAACAATTTACTTAATTATAATTATAATTAGGTAAGCAATGATACTTTTTGTTTTCAGGTTTGAGAGAAAGTTTATTCTTACCAATTCTCATTAAACCGCTCAATAAATTGGCAACTACTGTATTGCTATGTTGTTTATAAGCTTTTTGGGTTCAAGAATGATTCTGAAAAGAAAAACAAAAAATTTTGTGTAGTCATTCAAACTCTCACCAATCCAAGGCAAGAGCAAGACATGTTAATGAAACGCGTACTTCAAATTTATCTAGTTACTAGTGTCGCGTATTCACATTGAATACTGAAAACATTACCGAGTCCTGGTAGTAACATCAATTGAATTATAAATTACCAGTACAAGCAACTTGTACATCTGTCCATCGGGACTTGTTTGGGTTGTGAAAAAGACAGTGTACTATATTATTGAAATTGAAATTGCTAAAATATGACTCATTTGTAAGTCATCTATCTGACTTGCACTTCTCCCAACAGAAATTGATGTCTCTTCCCAAAATATTCATGATTATGAAGCTGCCTTGGCTATCGCTATGGAATGAAAAAACACAGTATTGAAACGCTATTGCTTTACAGGTTGGATTATGTTTCTAAAAGTTGCACCCTCATTTAGCGCTTCGAAGACTAAGATCCGGAATTGGGAAAGTAGATTGATTATCTAGGGGGTAGTGTCACAAACATAGTAATAAATTATAGGGAGCTCATATTAAAATCAATATTTCTGCCGATCATTTGCCGATCGCTTGCTCAATAGAAACCTACGCGCTCATAAAGACCATACCGAACCGATACATAAGTAATCAATGCCTGCGCTATAAGAAAATGGTGCTACTTTTTCGTTTTCTTTGACAAATTGTAAGTTTGCATATGTATTTAATATTTATCCACTTTTTTATAGCAAAATTAAAAAAGTGGAGGTATTTTCTTATATTGCAGGTGTTACAGTATGTATTGGTATGGTCTTTATGAGCGCCTTGGTGACTTGAAGTTTGCATTTTTTTCACTATTGAAAGTGATCGGCAAATGATCAGCAGAAAAAACTTCGAATACGGATTTTCATATCTAACCCCAATTATCGTCCTCTTTAGCTCTGAAATTTTTTCTTAGTGACAAGAGTACGAACCTCTTCATTAAAGTGTGTATCTCGTTCATATTGTGAACAAGAATCTACGCGTAAGTATGAGATCCAATGACATAGCAAGTTTACTTTCTAGAACAAGGTTGCCGTTTTCAATATGGCATGCTTTGTAATTGACAAACTTGCAAGAATGTATCTCACCCTTCTGTTTGAGGCGCTACGTTGATTTCTACTCACTGCTGTAGCGTTATAGGTATGTAGGGGACATAAAAAGGAATTATTGAAAAAGATATTAATTGATGTGTTTTTGTATATTCATAGCCGCGACATTAGCTTGCACTTTCGCAACCGAAGCTTACACTCTGATAAATTGTTACCTCGTTCGTTCCAAAATCGGTTATTGCGAAGACTGTCGAGAGTAGTGCAGCGAGAGATGAAAGTAGTGGCTCTCGTTAGTGGTGGCAAGGACAGTTGCCTTAACATGCTTCATTGTGTAGCAAATGGTCATCAAATAGTCGCATTAGCTAATTTAAGACCACCTTCACATTCCGACAAAGGTCTTTCTGCAAGTTTTCTTTCATTGCATGATGTATTCTGGAAGATATCACATACTAAAGTTTATTTGTCTCAAATTGCACAGATGAATTAGATAGCCATCTTTACCAAACCGTTGGTCACGATGCAATACCACATTACGCTTCATGCATGAACCTTCCCTTATACCGTCGGTCAATTACCGGCTCTTCGCTCATTCGATCTCCTTTCTATCGCGTTACTCAAGGGGATGAGACTGAAGATCTATACGAGCTATTAAAAGAGGTGAAAGAACATCATCCTGACGTTCAGGGTGTGTCCGTTGGCGCGATATTATCTAACTATCAACGCATTCGTGTTGAGCATGTGTAAGGATATGGGGACTTTTGAAAATGAGGGGTTATTGTGATATTGAGGACTCTTATATGTTTTGCTCTTTGTGGTATGCAGGTGTGATAGGTTAGGATTGACATCTCTTGCTTACCTTTGGAGAAGAGATCAGAAGGAATTATTGGACGAAATGATTGAACTTGGTCTCGAGGCTGTTTTGATCAAAGTTGCCGCCATTGGTTAGTAAATTACTACGTTGTGCTATATGACTGAAGATATTTATGAGTTCTGCAATTTTCATAGGACTAGAACCCTCGCATCTCGGCAAGTCAATTAGAGATATGCGCTCATCTTTAATTGAATTGGTATGCTGCATGTGATTTGCCATTATTGTCAATATTTGATCATTCTGACAATTACGATATATTATCGTCCGACACCATAACAGAACGAGAAATATGGTATCAATGTGTGCGGTGAAGGTGGGGAATACGAGACACTGACAGTCGATTGTCCGTTGTTTGTAAAGAGACTCATAATGTGATTATATCATTCCAAGTGAATTGAACGCTTTCTTATAAATGAATATACCAACTTACTAATCAGTATCATCACTATTTTTGTTTGCATTCAGTGCGGACACTGAGACTGTGACTCATTCTGATGACGCATTTGCTACTGTTGCGTATCTTAGATTGAAGAAGGTGTTGGTTCAGGATAAGCCACCAAATCGTGTGGATGTTGAGTCAATCATTAAGAGGCCATCATGGCAGAACAGTATCGAGCATATCTTAGCAAGTGCTAGCTCTGTCGTATGTGATCACGATTATTGATAAACAGTATAGAATTTACCAATAATATCCTAAGCCTTTGTACGTATTAGCATATACAAGATCCTAAACCGTCTACCGTACCGGTTATCGACAATGACATAAAAGATCAATCAAATAGAGGTATTAACTTTCTCTCGTTCTTACCTTGTTATTTACTAATTGATTATTGCGCCTAACCGTCTATCAGATATGGCCGTTGCTTCACGCTCCAGGTCGCCATTCCATTTTATATCAGGAGTAACAGCGTATGATAATAATATGGTAGTAAATGGTTGCACCATAGAAGAAGAGACGAGATCATGCATGAATAACATAAAAGGTTGGTTGGAACATATGAGCATTGATGTTTCATTGAATACATTTGTCAACTATATTATTTAATATATTAATTATCCTAATTTTGCTAAAATGTCATTCAGGTTATCTGGATAAACTAGATTTGTCCTTTGCTGACATAGTTAGTATGAATGTGGTCATCAGTGATATGAATGATTTTGGCAGAGTGAACGCTGTATATAAGACGTACTTTGATATCAAACCAGCAACAAGGTACAAATAGTTATTGCCGCTTTGAAGAAATTCAAGTGATTTAATAGCCAATATTAATATAACGATTATGTTTGTATATGATTTTACTAGAGCTTGCGTTGCTGTCAACTTACCACATCCAGTTAGGATTCAGGTTGATCTTGTTGCTATCAAAAATGTATCACCTGAAGAAAGAGAAACTATGCACGTACAAAGTCTATCATATTGGGCACCTGCAAACGTGGGACCATATTCTCAAGCCATCATAGTAAGCTGTTTCTGTATTTGACATGTTATAGTGACCAAATATGTGATATGTATAGTATGCATTACTTACTAGACTTGATCTGTCAATGAATAGTCTCAGAATCATGCATTCATAGCAGGTCAAATCGGTCTCATCCCGTCCAGCTTGCAACTCCCCCCTTCACTCCAGTCTCAATCTGCATTGTCCTTGCATAACCTACAGAGCATTACAACCGCCCTTAATCTCAATCTTAAGCAGAGGGTTTTGTTGTGTTTGTGTTATGTTGATGAAGAGAAATCTATTGGTGCGGTTAAAAGGATGTGGGAGTATTTCTGCAATGAGGACAACGGTGATAGTAATTTGAGACCATCTCCAGTATTGTATTTGGTCGTGCCGGTTATTCCAAAAAATGGAAAGGTTGAGTGGCATGCGACCGTGGATGATGGAAAGGACACTGGAGTGGCGGGATGCAAAGGTATGCATTTTCGCGATATTAACAAGCATGCAGGCAATGTTTGCTTATAAACTCGTTCTTTGTCGCAGACGTTGTTGACGTTGCCCCTGGGGTTAAAGCCACCGTGGCCACGCGAGTTATCGGATCCACACTAAGCAGCGTAGTTAGAATTGCTACGAACAAATCAGGTGAGTTCTCGCATGACAAACACGTTTGTTCACAATGGATTCTCGGTGATAACTAATTAGACTATTAATCACTCTTTCAATAGAAATCCAGATGTCTCTCATTGTGGAAAGTATTGTGAACAGTCTCTCTAATATTATTTCAGCGTATGAGAAGATAAACCCGTCATGTGGATGGAATAACCTATTATCCGCGCGAATATTCTATAAAGAGAGCGTGTTCAAGGAGAATAAGAGTCAGTTGCAGAGAGGTTAGTATGTGATATTTATATAATCACTGCTTAATGCAAAAATTCACGCCAACTTTTGATTTTTATAGGTTTGGATACCGCTTTAAAGAGCAAAACGGAGTTGGATACCATTCCGGCCATTTCTTACGTTCCTGTAATTTCAATTGACAATGATGGAAGTATCCTTGGTATAGCCATTCACGGTGTGTAAATAAAGCTTCCCATTATCTACTCACACATCAAAACTAAGAACGGTAGTGTGTGATCGTAGAATTGGCAGTGTCGAATCTAGACAACCACTCTGATAATAAATTTCTAGGAGAAATCCTTTTCAATGTTTATTTCCAACCTGCGCTCCACTCATTTCTGTTCGCTGTCATCGATACGAGTAAATGTCTGAATTGAACATGACGTCTCGATCTCCAACTATAAAATGTGTTTCCTTAAGAAAAGAGGCTTGGGATTTTGAACTAATCAACATATATATCTTCCCTTTAAGAATTAATAGTCTAGCGATTAATGATAAAGATCTATTGAATATAATGGGCATTTAACAAAATATAAACACTGGGAATATTAGTAAGGGTAACAGACGGTTATTGATTATTGTGGAGATGAGAACGTCTACAGTTGTAATCACAAGACATGTTGTCTCCTTTTAATGGATACATAACATGTAGAAAATTTGTGACTATCAGTGCCCTCGCCATCTGCACCATCTTAATAGTCTTCTGACTCAAATATGTTTAACTAGTCAAGATAGCGAGATAATAGGTACTGGCAAAGAGCAAAATGACAACAGGAATTCTTGGTGTTAATCCTCTTCCATCTTAACAGGTACCCATTTATCATTTTTATTTGATGACTTGACTATCAAGTCAATATTAAGCAGTGATTGAAGAGACTCGATATGTTGAATATACGATTTAATCTGTTCAGACGTTATGGGAGGAGGAGCGGCTGATTGGTTTTCTGTTAATTCACGATGACATACATCGCGTGCTGTGCGCTATGGATGAAATAAAATTATGAATAACTTAAATTGCAAAATGCGAAAATAACAAGATTCAAGTAAATTCACCAGTATTTTGTAAATATCGTGGCAATTCGTGTTGAACTTTTCGTATGCTTGTTCCAGCTTTTGCTTTAATGCGTCTGGTGGTTGCCAATCGAGATTCTCGCTAGCATTGAAATAGCAACGACAAGCTTAGTTTTCGCCATAGAATCGGTACAATCTTGATATAAATACATACGCATCCATTTCTCTTTCTCTCAATTCTGTGATTTCAGCCGTACGTCGCCATATTTGCTAGTTAAAGAGACTTCATTTAGAGTGCAATTTCTCAGACGGGTAAATAACTTTGAACAGTACTAAAAACTCTTTCAGTTATTTATGACACCCACGTTAAGAGAGGTACGTAATTTCTTTTGATATTCTTCCAGATCAGCCTTTGAACTCATTTCTCAAGGTCGCCAAAACTCACACAGCGACCCCCCCAAAATTCCGCCGCTGATCCGTAGATCATTTCCAGAAATTGTCTTGCGGAATTGCCGACCTCTCGCTACTATT